AAAAAAACGCTTAACGTGGCCATAGGTGGCGACTCCACCCTACTAAGTAAACTAATAATGTTCATTTTTTGCAGATTATATATTTTTTTTTATGTGAAACATTAAATTTAACAATAAATAAATTATTCAGTTCCAAAATACTATACTTTAGATTTAATGTTTTTTCGAAAAACTAATTTTTTCAAAGTTTGTATGGTTTTAAATTAGGTAAGAACAAAATACCACAATAAAAACTTGTCACTAACATGGGTGACAAAGCATTTATTTATATTCTGGTTTCGAAACAAAAATACATTTCATATGAAATAAAAATTATTTTATTTCAAATTATTAAAATAACAAATAATAAATCATTTCCAACAGAGTGCAATACTTCATAATAAACAAAAACGTGATTAATAATATATAATATTATTACACCCAACATTTTCAACATAACTGATGCTACAACATAATTCATAATTATTAACTAAAAAATGGCAGTGATAGCCTCCAATATTAGTATTTTAAGGCACATAGATGAATTATTGACTATTTATTTTATACAAATATTTCCATCTTATTGGTTTTACGCACAATTTTTATTTGACCTGGTGCTATATCTGGTAATCCTAAATATTTGAACGCTATTGTTACTGTCTGATCACCAAAACTTGCGTCAAATCTGCAAAATACATCAGTATTTGTAAAAATAAATTATATAATTTATAATACATCTATTTATAAGAAAAATGTGGGTTCAATCATCTTATATTTTTTGAAATTACATGTGTTAGCAGGATTATGTATGTAAATATAGGTTGGATTTATAGATTGAAGTCTGAACAGGCTGAGTTCAAAAACCTAAATAGTTATGTAATTATTTAGAGGTCAGTAAAAAAAAAAAAAAAATTAATTTAATTTAATTTAACATAATAGTCTCTAAATATAGTGAAGGAAATACAATTATATGTCTTGCTTATTTATTTTATCTCTCCTCCCAAATTCTTTGTTCAAGGAGAAAATCATAAACTTAAATCTGACTCTATATTTAAATAAGTAATATACAATGGTCGTAGCTTATTGGACTCATAGTTAATGACTCATTCACTTATTAAACTAAAAATGGCTGGTCCCGATTTACACATATACTAACACACAACAAAAAATTTGTCTATTTAACAAACACACTGGTTGATAGGGTCATTTGAAAATTAGAAAAATCAAGAAAATATGTACATATATTAAATATACGCGTTATAAATGCGATATAAGTCGGTAGTGATATGGATCAATATTGACAAAGTCCAAAATACTAAAATTGTAACTGAGGAAGAAATATGTGGTAAAATACAGTCAAAATGGCAAAAATAAAATGTGACTGATGGTAGTGACGAAGAGGAATCTGAATAGAAACCACCATCAACTAAACAAATGCTAAAAGCTCTTCAAATTCTATGAAGAAGGATTTAGCAGAGGCAATCTTGGCGTATTCGAGCAACATAAATCCTACGAAGATATAATTATGAAGTTGGCTGAAGAAGGGAAAATACAATCAACCCTTGATGGATTTTTATCAAAAAATTAATTATATTTTACATACATATTATTTTATTTTTAATAGTGTAGCTAAATTTTTATTTTTATTCATATCTTGAATCCTAACAAAAATATTTGTTAAGAAATAAGTTTTTAATTTTAAGCATTTTGTTAAATTTTTTTTGGTAATTTGCCTTATTGACTCATTTGATTAATGGACTCAAATTGTCAGGTCCCTAAGTGAGTCGAATAAACGGCAACCACTGAATACAGTATAGGTGCAACTGGGTGGGCTAAGGGGACTTAGCCCCTCCGAATCAAGATTTATCCCATAAATATTCCATGTTTTACATGGCATACAGCATACTTAACTCACAATAATGTCACATACAAAAAAAGACACATTGCAGTAAATCCAACTTGGCTCAGAATCTAAAATATATTAACATAGTAAATATTAGTAGGGGTAATCTACAGGCTATTTTAAGTTTTGGTAGGAAGGCTGTAGCTCCGCCAGATTTTTTACCCTAGTTCCGCCTATAAATTATAGTGATTTTAGAAAATAATTCCAATTGAATTTCTATCCACTTACAATATATTATGTGTAAAACATATAAGTTCTAAAATAAAATATTACATTATATCTTAAATGAAAATATTCTTATAACAAAAAACCTTGGATTTTTAAGTTATTTTAAGATAAGAAAATAATTAATAAAATTAAATAAAAAAATAGTAGCAGCTATAAAATAATTTTTTGTTAAGTGTGAATGAGAATTAATAATCATGAATTACTACCTCAAAATATCTTTAAATGTATTTTTGTGTTTTAACTTTTTTTAGATTAAATTATTGCTACTTTAATTGATATGATTATTAACTATAAATGAATAATTAGTACTTATTATCAAACTTTAATTTTAATCAGTTAGTTATAATATACATTTAATAGATATTTTTGTATGAAACAACAATTTTGAATGGAAAGTAAGTATTTAAATATAAAAATTACCTGGTAGATATGTTTACATCAGGTGGACTACCAGATACGTTTTGAATAACTAAAAATAGTTTAGTGACAATTTCTATGACATGGTTGGTTTGAAGAACAAAATCTCCTTTCTTTTTATAAGTACTATCAGAAGGACCAACAACAGGTCCTTGGTGAAACAAACAACCGCTTGGAGATGGGGACCACTCTCCACCATAATCATCATCTTCTTCTTCAACACACCTCACATACGCCTAATAAAATGTAGCAACATTTGAAAATATATAATGTTAAAAACTTTTTATCGAAGATTTTTTTTTCTTTTAATAATTTGTAAATAATCATTAATAATACATACTGATTTTATATGAAAAACTGCAACATTGTCTAAAAACGGGGACAATGATAATCTATATATATCTGCAGCTGGTACTCTGTACTTTACTTGTAATGTTCTTTGGTCTAATATTAACATGGACTTTGTTGATATCACAAGGAGTGTTGGCACAAACTAAATAAAATACTGATTTAACATTTACGTTCCTGAATAAAATTATAAAAAACAGTCATAATATTAACTACCTTTCCATTACTTCTTGTAATTTTGTTAACTATATCAGCAAACACAACATGATGATCTTCACACTGCATAGCAGTTTTCTTCCATTGGGTATGTTGTCTCAAATTAACATAATCACCAATAAATGGATGTGCCACACTCTGACTATAACTTGCTTTACGATTTTTAAATATAAAGCTAGCAGTAACTTTTTCACGCATACGATTTCTTGAGGTTTGGTCAAATTTGTTTCGATATTTGTGACACTAAAATCAGTTTAACAAAATACATTTGAAAAATAATTAATAAACTAATTATGTATAAAACTTAAGTGCTTTTTAAAATTTAAATCAATTATAAAATAATTAAAGAGTAGTTTTATTATATTTTAGTTTAATTTAAAATTTATAAATTAAAAAAATATATTTTATTTTAAGCTTAGATTTTAATATTAATTTTAATTATTAACAAAATTACATAAAATAATATTTGATAATAATAATTTCTTGTAATTGTATGTTTTCAATATCAAAAAACTTACTCTCCATTTGTGATATAAAGTCTCTAACAAATAATGTGTGTGCGCAAATCGTGCATGAGACAATGTTACCCAAGCTCTGCTAATAGGTGACTCTGTAGCTGGACTTAAACTTCTTGATAATTTTAACAAATATTGACGTTTCTAAAAAATAACAATTTATATTATATTTATTATACATTACATATATACTAGGATAAAAAAATCATCCCATATTTATACTTAAAAATCATTAATTTATTAAAGCGTAAGTTATATAATAATAAATTATACACAAAATAGTTCATAAATTCTTAAAAAAGTGTATCAATATATTTTTATTTTGTAATGAATTACATTAATATAAATTGAATATATTAAATTAAACTTAACTAAAATTTAAAAGACAATTTCAAACTATACAACAATATTTTGTAATACAATAAATATAAAAGTACTACATTTAATTAATTAATAAATAAATAAAATATTAGTAAAAACCTCATTTTTTTTCTTACCTGCCAAGTTAATACTGTTCTAGTAATGCATTTAGCAGCTGAAAGTGTATCATTTATCCTATCACACAAATATAGTCTTATATTAAACACTAAAAAATTTTGATTTTAAATGATTAAATTATTAAAATAATTAAATAATTAATTAATAAAAATTAATAAATTAATAATAAATAATAATTAATTAATAAATTAATAATAATTAATTTAATAATCAATTATTTTGATTTTAAATGATTTTTATAAAATATTGACAGATTATTTATTAATACCTTAAGTGTTTAGGTTTATTTGACAAACTATAAGGATGATTTTGTCGTTTATGTCTATGCCATGCTTCTTGCACCAAAGCTGCAAGTTGATTAAGTCGTTCTGCCCTTAACTGTTCTAACTCCCATACAGATCTTGGTGAACGAACAAACACTTTAGTTACACCATACATAAATTCTCCACTGGGTATAGGTAAACACACAACTAATGCCCGTATAGAACGGGCTGTATTTCCATATCGAGGTCTAGGCCATGTTGCTGGACTAAGCATTTTGTACCGATTGAGGAATTCTTCAAATGTAAGTCGATAACAAAAACCTGATCTACGCAGCCGTACAATCTCAACAAGACTAAAATTATAATTGTTGATGACAGTTAAAATTAAATGCAAACAATTTTGATAAATATATACATACCTAAACCATCTAACTTGCTGTTGTACAAAAGAAGCATCAAATAAATTTGCTTGACAGTGGCGATTAGGTGATATGCATGTTATATAATGACAATGACGGCCAGATAACGTTGCAGAAAATGCTTCAGCCCAAACACGTAATTGACTGGCAGGATTAGAGACTGTACATGATGATATTCTACCAGGGTTTCCTAAATAGAAATTATATAATTTAATGTATATTGAAGGTATGAGTATTGAAAGTTTATTTTAATGAACCTAAAATTTTACAAATTAATTAATTCAGAAATTATGATTTATTAAATTACCTTCGGGAAACAATGATTTCAATAATGGATGAGTACTATTATACATTGTAGAACATAGCACTGGGTTTAAACTATTTTTATTTTTCTCCACAAAAGTATTAATATTATACTTAACAGGGCCCATAAAATGATTTAACCTAAAAACATATTAATTATAGTTAAGAAAAAAAATTTGAGAAATTGTCACAAATACATTAAATTTACAAAAGTATTCTTACATGAAAGTGTCATTTAATGTTATTTGTTCAACTGCAGTACTAATTCGTTCTTCAGAAGATGATGAACTATACTGTCGTTGTAGGGCACAAATTCTTTTAAAAACCATCATAGTATTACTATCTAATATTAAATCATCCATTATACTTAATAATCCTCCGCGAGTCTAAAAATTATTATGTGATTAGTTATTTCATATTGACAGCTTCATCCAGATTTCAAATGTTCTAACATTACTTAATGTAACTAACACACCTTAAATATTAATTCACAAACTGAGGTATTATCATAAAATGGAATAAGACACCACTGTAATCTTTCCATTGCATATTCATGTTGCTCATCTTTCAATGTGGTAGTTATTAACAAATTATGGATTTTATCATTACAGGAATTCAATACAAAATTATCCCAATCTAGTTGATTATCAGAATAATCAAATCCAAAAGCATCTAAAATGCCTAAATTTCTTCGCTTATACTTTGCTTCTGCTTTGACACTTTGATTGAATCTTGCTATTAACCATGCAAATAACCTAGTATATAATGACTGAGCGAGTATGTCTTTGTTATGTCGAGCTTCCTTTGCTGAAATTCCAGATGATAATGCTGATGATGTTAAGACTTTTTTTAAACTCTCTCCATCAGTACCTAACAATTCACCTAATTCATACAACTCTGAAAATAAATTTTAAATTAATTACATAATATACATAATTTATTTTATAAACTAATTTCAACCTACTATTACTATTGATTATAATGCATAACAATATTTTTAATATATAACCTAGTACATATATATTACAATGTATTAAGTCAGAACTAACTATCTAATATAATAATAAATGTTCAGTGCTTCTCTAAATACTCACCATAATCATTTGTAATAATGCACCCTTCAGTTCCATCAATATTATTGGTTGGTACCATATTCAAATTACCCAGTTTTAATATACTGCTAATTATTTTAAAAATATTGGTTATTTCAGATTCATCAAGTCCCAACATTTCAAATCCATACTATAACAAAAATTTTAAGAATACTTAACTAGTATATATATTGTACCTACATATTAGTATGATTTACCAATATTAATTTAAAAAATACTATTCAGAGAAATAGGTCTCAATTCCATATTCAAATAAATTAAGATATCAATAAATATATCATTATTATATACATACATAAAATAAAAGACATATTTTATATAAACCCTAAAAGAGTAAAAAAAATATAAACTTGAACTTTTCGAATGTTGAACCAAACCGAACTCAAAATGAAAGAAAATCAAACCAAACTATTTACCTTTTAGGTATGTTATTATATATTATTATAACAGATTTTTTTTCATATAGTGTGTATATGAATATTATATATATTATATATATAATATGATCAAAAACACAAATCTATTTTTGGAAAAGTGAAAAGGAAAAATAGAAATGTTGTTTGTGTTCTATATTTTTAAAAAAAATTATCAGAAATAATAATATTGGATGTAAATAGTTATAATAATTTATTACATATTTTTAAGTGTATTAAATTTTTTACAATGTCAGTAAAATTTTCATAATTTCAATCTATTAATAAAGGGAAAAAAAATTATGAATTCAAATTTTAGTTAGATAAAAAATTTTAATAGTTTGGTTCGGGTTTATTTAAATAATTATAAGTTTGGTTCAGGTTCGTAAAACTTTGACATGTTCGGTTTGAATTTAGTTCAACACTGAAAAATCAAGTTTGACCCATTACTAAAAAATTACAATTTGAGTTGAATGTTGTTTTTGTTTAATAAACAATGGTGATTAATTTAAAAATATATAATAATAATATTATAAGTTACAAATTATGTTATTTAATACAATTACCTTTATTGATTGATATTCTGATTGAAAATTAACAATATCGATTTGTTTAATACGATTGCTACACCTCAAATAAACATAATTTTCTGAATTTCTGGTGAGTTTCAATGATTCTAAAATTCATAAATATTAAAAAAAATTAAAAAAATTATCTATATTTTATATTTATTCAATATAGGTAAATTATTGTACCAACTAGAATAAAATATGTAGTTAAGATTTTTTGTGAATAATTAAATAATACTGAACTACTTAAAATTGTTGTCAATAATCATTAACCAATATATTTATTCATACCAAAAGAATGTTAATGCACAAGTAGGAGATTAAACTATTATTGTGAAGTCTTAAGTAAATTTTAATATTCACTAATACTTACTCAATAAATGTATATCAGCACCATAAATTAGATGATAAAATATATGGAAATTCCTATTCAACATACTTTGCATTGTTACCCTTGACTATAAATTTAATAAATTATTATAATTAATTATATCAACAATTAAATTAAAATTTTTAGCAATTAAAATAAAACTTTATATACTTAAAAATTTAATTAAATAATAATAAATAACTTACTTTATCCAATAAATCTATTAGCAGCCCAATTATAAGGAAAATAATGAAGTATTTTAATTATTTAATTAGTTATTTATCCATTATTATACTTACATCCTGTAATTGTAGCACCCAAAATATCCCCTTTAAAATTTAATTCTAGATCAACATGTTTTATCTGAAATATATATTAAAATAATAAAATAGCCAAACATTTTCTATGAATTTTAAACTGGACTATTTATTAATTATTAAGAATTAAAACAACTCACAAAACGAGAAGCATCACCATGAATATGTGTTTTGGCATTTCCAAATGCTAAAATAAAAATAATAACATAATATTATGGGACAAAATAATATAATTCATAGTAACACCTAACTTACAATTTAAAATGACATTGGCATTCAACAAACGTTGATTGAGCAAATTATTGTTATTGTTGGTCCCACATAAACAATGTAGCAACACCGAAATTGAATGGCTTTTACCTGAGCCAGAAATACCTTGTAGAACAACACATTGATCCTGAGCAGCATCTACTAACCAGCGAAAAGCCCATCCAGCCATAGCATATCTAAAATGGAAAAACATTTTTCTAATATTTACTACATTATTATTAAATAGTAAATATTTATATATTAGTTAATAGGTAATGAGTATGTTAAAAATGATTACAAATGTGGTGGTAGATGGCCTGATCTTGGTGACATATACATTCGACATAGTGGTAAAGAATTTTGGTTTACTTCTTTATATGGATTTAGAGAAATAAGCATATTTCCCATGTAAGTCTAAAACCAAAACATTGAATATAAATTACTCAAATAATATAGGTAAATTATAATATCAGTCATACAATTCAGTAAACTGTAAATATGATTCTAGAAATATAAAAATCCATAAAATCTATAACACATTGTTTAAGTGTAGATATTATTTAGTATTAGCATTTAAAGAAATAAAATACATTTTTCATGTTTTCTATATAAATAAAAATATATAGTTTAATTTTAAAGAAAATAAATAAAAATTAATAAACATTTTATTAATTAAATGTGTTTTAACATATTTAATATTAAATATAATAATAAAGTATTATTACATAAGACATAAAAATAAGTTTTTGTCTGAAATATTGTAAATAGTTTAAGTTAATTAAACATTTCATACAATTTATTTTCGTTTTTAATTTCTTTTAATAGAATGTGATGAAATTATAGTAGTTTGTAATATTGTAAATGTAATTTGTATATTGTCTTTCTGTACATTGATTTTTTTTAGCATATAATAAAATAAATCATTTTTTTTCATATTTTAAAATTTCGTGGCATACATATGTGCATATTTATCAATAATTTTTGCATAAAAATCTGGACTTTACTAATCACATAATTATATTTGCTGATAATATAGATAAAGAAAAAAATAAAATATCTAGAATTATATGTATAAATCATAAAATACCAATATAATAAATTACATTATTACATGATGAAGTATGTAATGTAGAAAAGTATATAAAAAGTAAAATAAAGCAATAAAAACAAACAGTTAACTTAAAAGTTCATATTCTAACAAATTGCTGTCCCAAAATGTATAACTACACGTTATATAAGATCTATAATTAAAACACTAATTTTATGAATTACTTATTTTAAAAATAGCTTATTTATTTTAAAATGTTGGGTTTTTTTTTTTTTTTTTTTTTATATATAAATTTGATATTTGATGATAGTTGAATATTTTTAATATGTGCAGTTTTTAAATGAATAACATTCTGAACTTTTTAAAATAAATGCTGTTAAACATGGGTTCTAGTATTCACGAAATGAAATTTAGTTTAAATTCTGTAAAATTTATTTTAAACAGATATAATAATAAATATACCATATTGTAAAAGTTTCTAAGCTATGAAGACTATTAAAAAAAATTAAATTCAAATAATAACTAATTTTATCAAAAATATTATCAATAGATCAAAAAATAGCATATGCTAATAAAAATATATAAATAAAGGGTTTAGTGAATAAAATACCTAACAATTTGTTCAAGCCCCCTCCAATAATTCAGCTGTTTATTCTAGCTTTAAACCATAGGTAGGCCATATGCTTTTTCAAAAATCTTAAAAATACACCAAATAATTAATAAAAATTATGATTTTGAAAAAAAATGCATATATGGTTTCTATAAATTTATTGATAAACATAATTGTTTAATGTAAATTATCAAAAATTATTTAGAGATAACAAATTATTTATGTGAAACTGTAATTAAAGTATCACAATAATGATATTATTAATTATATTTATATCTTCCTATATTATTATCTCTATGACATTATCATTTTCTTATAGTTATTAATGTTATAATAAATATTATCATCGAACAATTATTAATAAAAATAATAATTTATTAATAACTTGATTTTTTTTAAACTATAATACTTACATATATAATATTTGAATCATATCTACAGTTCAAATTTGAGATAAATGTCTCTTCTGTCAATGGTTCTAACAACACACTGTCCCAGATTCCGTCTTCATCATTGAGATCCATGAGGAAAGATGAGTCTTATACCAATAAAATCCTAACTGAAAATTATAAAATAAAACACACAGACATGAATTATTATTTAATATCCGTGTCTGGTACTATCTGGTACCATATTGATTGTTCATATCTAATCCACTTATTATTATAAGCACCTGTCAATTTTAATAATATTGAATTATCATTACATAAAATATTAAGATTAAATTATATTTATTCTATTAATATAAAACTAAAATTAATACAAATGTTAAGTTGTATCTCATTATATGTGTAAAATTATAAATAAATATTATATAAAGTATATATATGTAGTAGGTATACTATACATATTATATAATTCATAAATTATCGCATTAAATACAGTGAACAAAATAATTTCAAGTTTTAGTGTATTTAAATAATTTTAAAATGTACTTAAAACAATAAGATTTCACAAGAATTTTTCTCTCTTTATAAATCTATTTGTCATATAAGTTCACTAATTTCTTGATATACATCGATAAGGCTTAAACTCCATATTCCTATGCAATAATTAAGTTTAAATTTAATTTAATTGCTTACATTTAAAGTATATTTAATTGAATTCATAATTTATACTATAAGAATCTTATGAATTCAACATACTGTAACTTAAAAAGTACTGTTTACAAATACAACAATTAGTAGTTAACTATTGGGAGTTTTCAAAAGAAGAAATAATGAAGATTTACAAAGATTTTATAATAAACTGAACATTTGCAAATTTCTTAGTAGCAAAAGACTAGAATGGGCTGGCCACGTATGGTGTACGGAAGGATGTCTTATAAGAAAAGTGCTCGATGGAAATTTGAATGAAAAAAGACCCATAGGGAGACCACATCAAATAAGGTTCAATATGGTGAAGAGAAACTTAACACGAGTAGTGGACCCTAGTTATAGCATCAATTTGGCAGTAGATAAAATGCAATGGAAAGGAACTATAGAAGTGGAATTAGACCTAAATGGTCTGTTTCAAGCCTAAGAAGAAGAAGAAGTACTTAACCATAACACTAATAATTTGTATTTGTTTAATTAATGCTATTATATTTTATTTATTCAAATTATACGAAGGGTTGTACCATGCAATTAATAATAATTCAAGCATTAGCCTACTTCTAAAAATAAAAGAATGAAAACTCACTAAAGAATTTCAATAAATGATAAATGTAATTATTAAACAACTATTTTTTTTTCTACAATACACTTCTATAAAATATTAAAATTCAAATAACCTAATAATACTAATTCAAGTAATCGTACAATTAAAAACCTAATATAAAAAAAATTATGATATCTACAAAATTAAGATATAAAAATGAATATTAAAACTTCAATAAAATAAAATACTGATATTCATTACATGGTACATAGGTAATTGAAGAAAATATTGTTACATACAAATGTAAAATTCACATAAACTAAAATCAAATCATTAGTGTGAAATGTTTGATAAGTAATAGGTCTTCAAACACATAATAGCATGATTTATATTATTATTTAATATGTGCATTTGTTCATATATTTATATAACTATTAATATAATATCTGTACTTATAATACATAAAATATTTATTTTTTATTAATAAGATTAAAACAAATTTACCTATTCTTAATTCAACAAATTAAAACTTACGATTAATTAATGACTTTGTCGTGATTGTTACAAAAAATACATACTAAACTAATAAAACAACTAATTTTAATAAACTAAAACACTTAAATAGGTTATCTAAATTTGAAACAAAATTATTTGGAGAAAATAAAATTAAGTGAAGATAAAATTATCGGCTGGTAATGTGATAACTGATAAAAGAAGCAGTGCAAGTAATTCTATAAAAAGTTCAAATTAAATTATACCTGAAGTATTATTAATATAGTTTGTTATATAGATATTGTACAACACAATGAATGTTCATTGTTTTATTCTTTCACATAAATACATAAATGATAACAACAATTGAAAATAAAACTTTAATCAATATAAATTATATAAATGTATTATGTAAATGTTTCAATAAACATTTTTTTCGACACTCATTACTATTACAATAGTTGGTGTATTATATTTATGTAGATACTATATGATATAAATTTGTTTATATATCAAGAAGTATATTGAGTTATAATATTATGCGTGATTAAAAAAAAAAAAAATAGTAATAATATAAATCTTGCGTACAAAAATAATAGATAGGTACTTCATGAGTGATTTTTATGAAAACAAAATAATTCAAAAATTATCTAATTATAGTTGCATATTTTTATAAATTTATGATTTATATCAAACATTAGAATTTAGATTTTAAACATTATTATGGTTGTACTACATCGCTGGGTCACTATAGTAACCATAGGTCTAGTGATTGGATTATGCCATTATGAGTAAGTACCTGTACCTATACCCCAGGTGTATATGAAAGGGAAAGCTTAGAATTAAATCTTAATAATAATATATTGATTTCCTTTCCTAGGCTTCTTTTTTTCCGCTTATATTATATCTGTACATAGGGCTGCATGACATAAGCGCCAAAATTAATATTTTATATAAGTAGGTAGTTCTTTAAAAATTGCTATATCTTATAAAAATTATATTATATATTATATTAACATTATTATGTCGATAATAAATTATAATATAAAATTATATAATATTATAATATATAAATTGGTTGATTTTTTAATCCCACCTTTTTCACGTATTCTGTACGATTTATTTCACCATCCTGGTATTTTTTCCATTGAACAATTATTTCTTCGTTGGATATCCTTAATTTATTGATAGGAGGAGAGTTCATAAATAAATTTGTTTCGCTTTGAAATTTTAATAATAAATCAATTACTATATGAACGGAACAATGAGTCACATAAAATTGGTCTTTTAAATGTTGATGATATGATTCAGCTGCATTTGTAGTTCGTATAACCTCATTATCCAGAATGTCAGTCCAAATTAATATCTGTTATTTAACCGTGGCTCACAGGTACAAGGGCTTATTTGAGGGGGCGAAGGGGGCAGCTACCCCCATGGCCAGTGCCGTATTTAGACATTTTGCGCCTCGGCGCAAAAAAAAAAATTGGCACCCGTCGTCTAAAGGACCTGCCACGGAAAATATAGGAGATAGATCCTCATGAACCTTTTAGATATTCTAAAATCAATGCTATTTTTGTGTGGTAGACATGCCACCGCACGCCGCACGCGATAACATAATACACCGTATTATTATAAATAATGTTTATTGACATTATCACAATAAATCTGGGACCTATAGTATCGTTTTTTTTAATTTTTTCGAATAAAAACCCTATAAATAACAAATTAATAAATGTAATTAGGTAATTAATTATAAGCTATTTATACAAATTGATTAAATACCTTTTGGTGTCCAAATACAAAAATAACAATACATTCTACGAGCAATGTGAAGTTGACCCTGCACTTAATAATCGTAGTTATATTCAAATGCAATTTTTCATTTATTATTTTACAACTTATAATTTTTTTATTATTGATTCCTTCTTCTGGCTCATATCTTTGGCACTTGATGTGCATTTTATTTTGCTTATAATATTATTATTATTATAGTCAATACTATTTTATGATGTGTACAAAATTAGTTTTGTAATCGGTCGACATTAAAAATATCAGGTCGCGGCTCTAAACCGATGCGGTCGCTGTGCGTGTTATCGCAATTTCGAGAACACATTAATTCTCATACGTGCATGCACAAGTCAACGATAAACGTATGAAACTATTTTTATGTTCTTTTCAAATTGGTGAAAAGAAGTAAAAGCTGGAACAAAATTCGTCTAGTTCTGGTTATCCGATTATATATTTTTTAATATATTCTAATTTCTCAACTTTTCTTCTATGTTTTGTAAAAAACGGATTTTTGATTTTAGTTAAAGTTATTTAATAAAATGCATTCAAATTTTTATCTTTTTTTAAAAATTAGCATATAAATTAATAAAAAATTAAGAAAAAATAATAAAATTGTGGTTCCTACAAAACATAGTTAAGAAACTAACAAATTTAAATATTTTTTCAAAATTAAAATCGGACAATTAGAACTAGGTGAATTTTGTTCCAGCTTATTGGTCTAAATGCATGAAAAATGTAGGCTGCTCCAGCCGCCTTAAGTATATTAATAATATTCTGAATCGCTGTTAGCTATATTGCTATAAATACATTAATAATATATATTAATAAATTAATTACATTAAAATTAATTTATGATACTGTTATTAAAAACAAAACAAAAATAATAATTTCAAAATAATTTTAAAAGTTCAATAATTCACAAATGAGCAAATTTTTGACCATAAAATTTTGGCGTCTCTAAAAAACTGGCGCCAAGTTATAGCCAGTGCCCCCCCCCCCTAAATGCAGCCCTACCCATGACTCGTATTTTTTTTTTAAATAATACATTGATTTATTTAAAAAATGTAATGTATAAATAATTAAGAATATAAATTACTGTCTATCATTATAACAGGAAAATGTGCTATAGGTAATGAACTGTAATACACCCTTGCACAAATGCCTAGATTTTGGCGTTTTTGTACGATACGACTTTTTTTTTCTCATCTCATTTTGCCGCTTATGTCTTTCACCGGTACATATGTAAGTACTCCCTAGCCCCTATAGTCTGTGCACTATGGCAGATATATATTTATATAATTATATTTATTTTACTTTTTATTAATATAATAACGAGGATGGTTATTATAAATCTTTAAAATGGTTAAAAATAATTTAAATACTTTAATATATTATATAATTACATAATAATATATAATCTAACTCAAATACAAAATAATATTTTTATCTGCCATGATATTGTCTAGTTGAAACATACTAAATTACATATCTAACATACTAAATAGTTAATATATGTTAAATGAAATAAGTAAATACACGAGTAATTATCGTGAGTATCGTACCTAAATAAACGTACACGCTCGTGTTGATTAGAATTAAAATGAGCAGTAAATTTTGTTTACGCAGTAAAAATGTCACATGTTAAAATAACACCCATGTCTTGCCGGCCTTAGGTTAGGTTAGGTTAGGTTAAGGGTTAGGTTAATAATCTTGCACTAATTTAAGTAATACAAAATAAATTAGCTGCACGGATACAGCGGTCGACTAATAAATTAAATTGTCATATTAACCAAATACAGAACATAAAATAAATAATGAAAAAAAACAAAAAAATTTTTCTGAAATTTGAATCTTTTTTTTTTAAATAAAAGTATAGCTATTATCTAATTCATTTTGGCGGCTCGCATGGGCATTCTTGGAGGTATAGGCTCCCCAGCCCCCCTCCCCACTAGTTGCACTTATGATTTTAAGATGTTTTGGTTATATTATAGTGCGTATTTCAGTAATTTCCAATGATATGTTATCCGAATTCTGGTAATTATGATTCTCAGATAATATTCGTTATAATATAATGTCAAGTCAATGTAATATGGTAATTGGCACATACTACCCATATAATATCTATAAGGTCATAATTTGAGATCATCAATTATCATTATTCATTTATCAATAATATTTTATCCTACAGTAATATTTATAAATTTTATTTATTTGTATGTCTTATTAATGAGCGCACTAACAAAAATGTTTCCTATTAAGGTTAAATTAAACTATTACTATTATAAATGTATAACTAATATTCATGAACATTCTGAGATACCATAGTAAGCAATACAAAACAAATATCACATTAAGTATTACAGATTTAAATTTAGATGTCTACATCCAAAACCTCTAACCAGACCACTGCTTCAGAAGTCACTTTGATGAAATCCTCCAGGTCACAATCGTAGTTTCTCAATTGGCAATCCAGGATAAGGTGCTGCATTGATTGTATATTTGCATCACAGTCGCATCCCGGAATATTTATACATGTAGTCATGTAACACATTATTTGTATTCTTTACATAATTTTATATTTAATGATACATGTTATACAATTTTGTAGGTAGGTAATCAGTTATTTCAGTATAAAAGAAAAATTAATGCTTACCTATCTATAGACCCGTATTTAATAATTTGACGCCCCCGGGCATATAACTTATGCCCCCCAAAAAAAAATAATAAATAATAATAATATAACACTTATTATTTCGTCTATAATTGAGTTTCTTTAATAATAAAATATAACTTATAAATGAAAATCTTTTTTTAATTTTTCAATTATCAAATTAAACAAATTATAACATAATAAAACATACAATGTCCTTTTTTTTTAACTAACAAATTATAATATAATAAAAATACAATTTTTTTTTTTTAATTTACAAATTATAACATAATAGAACATACTATTTTATTTATTTTTTTTTTTAGGTAGGTACATCATTTTTAAAATTAATTTTGCTAAAATATTTTGACGTCCCCGGGCATGTGCCTACCCGTGCCCCCCCCCCCTAAATACGGGCCTGCCTATCTAAAATAAAAAACATTTTCTTATTATCATTCACTTTTATGACGCCATCTAAATTCATAATACTTTGTACGCCATAGGGCACTTTTGCCCCTCTCCCTTGAGACGGGTATGATTATACTAGTATATATTTATTTTGTTTTGATAGTGTTGTGATTAGTCGATACATTAACCTACTAACTCGTAGAGTAAGTTGTCGTTTATTTAAGTTTTTATTGAAGTAGATACTTTATTATACGATTGTTAAAAAACTGTTAGATTTAAAAGTATTAAGTTAAAAG